TAAGGTAAATTTACTTTATGAGATAAAAGACAGTAACCATTCTGCTTTGTGGCTTTGATGTTGTAAGCAATATGTTTTTTAGGAGGAAAGATCCATGTCCAGAGTAGAAAACACAAAATATGACATATGTTTCAATATTTGGGACTCCATACAATAAAGGGGACCCTTAAAGGAGTTGGTAAACAGGATGAAGTGTTACAAAATGGAAATAAAAAACAATTTAGAAAGAATTTAGTGATTTCACAGAAGCCTCACTAATTTTCTTTTTAAAGATTTTATTTATTTATTTGACAGACAGAGATCACAAGTAGGCAGAGAGGCAGGCAGAGAGAGAGGAGGAAGTAGGCTTCCCACTGAGCAGGGAGCCCAATGCGGGGCTCGATCCCAGGACCCTGGGATCATGACCTGAGCCGAAGGCAGAGGCTTTAACCCACTGAGCCACCCAGGTGCCCCAGAAGTCTCACTAATTTTAGGAATAAATGAGGTAGTGTGATAAGATATTTCTAATTATTTCAAGAAGCAGCTCAGGAAGTTAATATAAATTGAATTCTGTCTTGGTGTGACCTGTGCAAGGTATTTTCATATTTGTGATCTTTTTATCCCCAATGTGCACTAGGACGTAGATATTCTTACTACCACTTTATGTAAGAGGAGACGAGGCTCACCACAGATGAGTGCTGTGACTGAGGTTACCAGGACTACATTGTTACTGTGGTAGGCCTATGTGACACTTGGCTCAGTACCCCTCCTTTGTATTTCTGACAGCAGAGATTTGTTTGTATTTGATTTTATCAACCAGATAGAAAAAATATATATATTGCTTGATGTAAACATAGTCCAGAAAGATAAAAGAACCTGGATATTGCACATGGAATTTTATTGTCCTTTAGGTCTTATTAGATTTGGAATTTCTGATTGATTTATTTTATGTTTGTTTTCACCAGTATTTGGCAGTTCCTGGTTTGACCATTTAAGACTGGGTACATTCTTTTTAAAGTATATTTGCCTAAGGCCTTTTTAAATAAACATTTTTTCAGGTTATTGATGAGTAAAACTTGACTGGAAATTTCAAAAATTCATGGGCTTAATTTATTCTTAAGCCTTCATATGTCCTTCTATTTAAGATAGGCAATACTAATTTCTTCATTTATTCTTTCATCCCACAAACTTATTCAGTGCTTACTACATTCTGGTTGTCATTCTAAGAATTGAAGAAAACAGACAAAGTCCCTATTTTCCTACCACTAACATGTTAGGGGGGAAAGACAGACACTAAACAATAAATACAATAAATAAGAAAATTGTTTAGTATATTGGAAGGAGAGAAATGAAAAAGTAATGTAGGAAAGTGGTGATCAGAAGTGAAGGGAAGGGTATTAGCAGGTTGCATTATTATTTTTTTTTTTGGCAGGTTGCATTATTAAATAGGATAGTCAGGGTAGTCCTCATGAGCACCTAGGTGCGCATACATGAATGGGATTTATTGTAGAGTTTTTTCTCATAGTTCAACTTGATTCCCTAACAGTTTCCTCAACTTTTTTAAACTACAAAGATAAACACTTTGAGATATAGCTGCCCTGCAGGCTCTTATTCGCACATCTAGTTACACTGATAATCCCTTGTCCAACATCTAGTTTACTCATAGGTACATTGTTGCTTCATCATGGGAGTCATGTGTGATCAACCGAACTCTTTGTAGGACCGCAGAAGCACTGTGTTAAAAATCAGCAAATTTCTTCAACAGCAACTGACTAATGAGGATGTGGAATCCATAGTGAAACAGGCTACTTTTAAAAACATGGAAGAAAAACCCAGAGCAAATTATGACATTGAGATCCACTCTCTGGAAAGGGCGGAGAACAAGACTTCCTCTGAAAAATTAATGATAAAGTGATAGGCTTTGTTTCAAAATTAGTGACAGTGTCCTACTCTAAGCGTCGTGTTCTTTGAAATAGTTTTCTGTGTGTAGATGGGTGATGCTGCGGTCTCCTCTCTGCCAGCATCTCTTGTGCCCAGTGACCTGGCCTGCCCAGACAGTCAGCCATGATGACCAGCTGTCAGTCACTGCTTGAAACCCAATCTTGTCAAAAAGATGTTATTATAAGAAATTGGCCTAAACTTTGAATTAATAGAAGAGCCAAATATATATAATTTATAATTCAGCGAGAGTTGTCAGATATGTGACCTGGTGAACTATAATTTTAAAGTTACTGCACATACTATACATGCCATATCTGAAATTCAAACAGTGCTCCAGTTTCTAATACTACCTTCTATAATACGACCATGTTCTGATACTCCTTTTGTCTTTATTTGCCTAAATGTTCTCTTTGTGATAAGGTCATCTCTGCACTGAAGTTTGCACTATTGACCATATTTGGATCTTTGATACCTACATTGATATTCCTTCACTGCCATTTTGTAGGTTAACCTTCTCTCTATTAAAAAAGTACTTCCTTTCCATGTGTCCTCCTTTTTTTTTAATTAATCATTTTTTTTAAATTTATTTTCAGCATAATAGTATTCATTGTTTTTGTACCACACCCAGTGCTCCATGCAGTCCGTGCCCTCTCTAATACCCACCACCTGGTTCCCCCAACCTCCCACCCTCCACCTCTTCAAACCCTTCAGATTGTTTCTCAGAGTCCATAGTCTCTCATTATTCACCTCCCCTTCCAATTTCCCCCAACTGCCTTCTCCTAACTGTCCTCCTTTTAATATTAATTATACACAGTGAAGTTGGGCTGGACTTTTTACCAGTTACATTTGAATGGACTATTTTGTATAGTTTGTGTTTTCTAATAAGAGGGAGGATTGTGAAGGTGTATCAAAGCCCAAACAAATTACAGCTCATGTTTTCCATGTTCATTTTGCACAATCTCAAGCTAGTATTTAGAAATATACCATTTTATTCCATTTGTTATGTGTCTGGTCTGGGTACATAATATGGTACCAGCGGAAGACCACCAAACTCTTAACTTGGGTATGTTTTGTGCATCTTAAGGATTAACACCCTTGAGAGTATCTTTCTTCTCCTTTATGAGTTGCCAATATTCTTTGTCCAGAGAATGCACTCTTTTATCTTTCATAAATCTAAGTCTATTCAGGCATTCACTCATTTTCTTATGCTTCACTTTATTGCACTTTGCTGATAATTGCATTTTTTACACATTGAAAGTTTGCAGCCACTCTGCATCCAGCATGTCTGTTAGCGCCACTTCATGTCAAAAGTTGCTCGCTTCATGTCTCTGCGTCACATTTTGATAGTTTTCACAATATTTCAAATGTTTTCATTGTTATTATATCAATGAGCTGAAAGCTCAAATGATGATTAGCATTTTTTAGCAAGACAATATTTTTAAATTTTCCTTTTAGAACAGGAGAGAGGTGGGGGTGGAAGAGAGACAGAGGGAGAGAGAGAATCTTAAGCAGGCTCCAGGCCCAGTGCAGAGCCCAACATGGGGTTCGATCTCATGACCTTGAGGTCATGACCTGGGCTGCAATCGAGAGTTGGATTTTAAACCAACTTAGCCACTCAGGTGTCCCAATTTTTAAATTTAGGTACTTACATTTTTTTTTGGACATAGTGCTATTGCATACCTAGTAGACTACAATATAGTTTACATGACTTTTATATGCACTGGGAAATCAAAAAATTCACTTGACTCACTTTATTGCAATACTTGTTTCATTGAGGTAGTGTGGGATGGAACGAATCCACAGTATCTCCAAAGTATGCCTATATTCTTTATCTACAACACTTCAGAAAGTATTTCTTTTCGTAGGATGATATCTTTTATTCTTAAAAAATATGCTGCTTCATCAGTTATCTTTAATCTGGAACTACAGGCTTAACTGCAGATATGTCCCCACATTCAGTCCTTTTCTCCAGATCCTTTACTTTCTCTAGAAAGCCAGATGTACCACAGAGCTAATGATACTTAATATAGGCCCTTTGCTATGCATGACACTTAATTTTGTATTTTCTTAAGAGACCCCTCCAAATTATATAAGCCTTAGGTGCCACAAATCCTGTATCTGCCCTATTCTTATATAGGACTCAAGAGGAAAAGATACTCACATGAATAAAGAACAATCCAGTGACCTGATTTAAACTAAGAGATGACTTTATAGATGAGCAGCCTCATTCTCTTGGGTTGCCACCTTTCCTAGGTTAACTCGAATGGAAGCACTTCCCTTGTGGCTTTAGTCAATTTTATGTGCAACCTTCTATAAAATCCTATCTTACAGTGAGGAATTAACACTTTGGCAAACACCTCTGTGCAATGTTGTTAATATAAATACTCTATTTGACCTCTACAGAAACCTCAAACAGTAAGAATTATGGTCCCAAACTCTGTCTCAGAATATTAGGATAATTTGTCCAGGGTTACACAGCTAAAAAGTTGGCATCTGGGATGTAAAACCACTTTTATCTCACTCTACAGCTCCACACAACACAACTGTATTGTTCTCTTTATTTCTCCTACGTTGATATTTGATTTTACCAAGATATCCATAGACTACAAAATTGATAAGCATGGAGGATAAAATACTCAGAAATTTTCCAAATAAGTTACTTAACTAATATGAAAGTAGACATACTGCATTTTTCCATTTGCCACAAGATAAAATTATCAACGAGGACTACTTAAAAGAGATGTTCAGCTCTAAATAGGATGGTGGGGGCAACATTTTGTTTTACAAAATAACATCACTTTCCAGCACAATTAACATTGCTTTTCTTCCACTCTGTATATCCATGTGGAAACATTTGTCAGGGGTTTAAGCGAGGGCCAGGAAAACAAAAATGGCACACTTCTTAGCTTTCTGTTTGGCTAACTGTAAGCTCAGTGAACATTTGGGGGATGAATTTATAAGACCTGGCCATAGTTTTGCTAAATATCTACAAAGCTGCAGAGTTCCTTAGTCCCGAGGCATAGGTTTCCACAGCCTCTCCCAAATGCCTTAAGGCTCCGCTCAGCCCCCCTAGTGAGTCCTCTTCTCCTGGCTGCGGTGGGGGCTAATCATCGCAGGTCGGAAGGTCACTGAAGGAGTAGCCCTGGCAGCCCCGGTGCGCTCTGTAGGCGATGAGCAGGTGGTAAAACCCGGGCAGGAATACGAGGATGCCAACAATCAGAACCGGAACGGCCCGGTTGACGCCCACTTTGCTGATGTGGCCCGCCAGCAGGAGGCAGCCCACAATAACGAGAAAGGTACCAATCAAAAACTGCGCGGTGGCACAGGCAATGGCTTTATAAGGAATCTTAGTAGAGCTTCTCTTAAACTTTAATATGTGAGTTCTCACTGTACATCTTTGCAACTTAAAGCTCGCTTTGGCAGGTAATGTTTCCTTCTGACGATGAATGTGTCCACTGTCAGTGCTGGAGAGCTTTGAGTATTTCACTTTGCTACTGGGGATCCCGGCAGCCACGTTGGTGCGACTGGGCACCATAACCGGCAGAGTGGATGGCGAGCTCGCCCACTGCAGCGGGCAAAGGCATCAGAGCCCCCGCGCCCACCCAACGGCTGCCCCGAGCCCCACGGAGGCTCGCTTCAGCATCTCCCTTTCATCTAACTCCCCCTAAAGAACTGTTTCTGCAAGACTGCCGTGTTCTTGATGGATATTCCTCTTTTATTGTGAAAAGTTGCGATTACTTTGATAGTCTGATGTTATATTGGCGTCTTTATTTTCTTAGGGCAGTTCTAGTCAACTCTGATTCCTTTGTCATTACAAGTATTCATATTGAGTAGATTAGCTTACATTCAGTAGAGTTCAATCACTCAATCTCATAGAATTTCCATTTTCCGTTCATGTTCGTCATCACATCCCACGTTTGCCTCTCTTCTCTTCCATTGGTCTAACATGCAGCAGACTTAGCTAATTTGATCAGCCTCCAATGGCTAACTAGGGTACAGGAGAGATGTGACCGTTGCCATCAAACCTTGATGAAATCCTGGCTCTGCCTCTTCTTAACTGTGTATCCGTGGTCATAATGTGTATCTAAAAGCCTAGTTCCTTCTGTAAAACAGGGAAGGGAATCTTAGCAGGCACTGCAGGAGATCATTGTTTGTACTTACTGAATGAAGGATGCAAACTGCCTTGCTTCTAGAGGTGCCCCCCATGGAGCTCAGGTCCTGACATGATCAACGGCAAGACATGTTCAAAGACTTTAAGGCATCTCATGCCCAAGTTTTGACTCATTTTATAGATAACAGCAAGTTATATTGCCTGAACATTGAATTGGCTGCCTTGTGGGAGTGATGTGCCCTTTAGAATGATAGGGTTTAATGAGAAGTGGTGTGGTCTTCTGTTAGGCTGTTGCTGAAAGGGTTCCTTTTTCATGAGGGGTTGACTTGGAGATCTCTAAGTTCTCTCTCAACTCCTAGAGTTTGTACCTGAGCTGCAGGCTCTGCTTCAAGCATTTTCTACCAACCAAATATAGGATTTCTCTCACTTCTGTGCTCTATGCCTACTACTTATTAACCTATCCCTTCTTATTAGTTTATAATTCATCATAAAATTTATCACCTACTATATCCACAATCTTATTTAATTCAATTTAACCTCATTTGGAAGGTGTATTTTAAGTTCTACCAGTGAGTTGTATTTTTTTAAGTGTATTCTTTTATATTTGACCAAGCTTTACCCAAACTAGAATATAAAGCTTCTCTACAGAAGTAATGGTGTATCTTCAAAGTCCTCTAAACCATAGAAAGCCTAGCACTAAGCCCTCTGGCTTTTTGTAAACTCAGTGTTTAAAAAATATACTACAAATAGAATATAACTACTTATGATAATTCTTCCTATAGCTATTTAAATTATAATCGTCCCTTTATTTACAAGACATTTTATAAGGTACAATCTTGTTTTTCTAACATACCTCAGAAATACAAAGTTTGATTTGCATTTTTGGCCTATGGTCACACACCTAGTTAATAGCAAAGCTAAGATGAGTTATACGTAGAGGATGTCCCAACTATTAGGAGCTAGAGAAAAGTCCTTTGTAATGGAGTTAAGCTTTGACTTCATTCCAATTTGTATTCTATGTCTATAATCACAATTGGGGTGAACTAGATGATAGAAATACTATCTCAGACATGTCCATAATGGGTTCTTGAGACCAGACATTTGCATTACGAAAGAGAAGAACAGTTGGAAGAGATCTGTCTGAGAAAAGAAAGTTAAACTGAGGCAGAGGAATGCAGTCTTATTCCAATGGCCAATCTCAGAGATGCTAACCAATTTTAGTGGGACTTCCATAGTCCAAAGGGGACCTGTGCCTTCAGTAGTAATTGTGCTGCTAGAAAACAAGAGGAAAAGATATGAATACAAGATACAAATTGTTAGACAATACTGACATACCAAAGGACAGAGGAGATGGTAATTCATTACAAAAATGTATTTCAGGTAGTTTAACATTAATATATTATTTATTATATTAATTTTACCAACTGGATTGGTCCATATCATGTTACTATTTCCTTAAATAATACAGCTGACTTATTTATATGTAAATAAATAATCCATTTTTAAGTTTAAAAATGTAAACAAGAGTAATTTCAGTACTCATTTATTTATTTTTAAGCTTTTTTAAAATTTAATTTTATTTTTTCAATGTTCCAAGATTCATTGTTTATGCACCACACCCAGTGCTCCATGCAATACGTGCCCTCCTTAATACCCACCACCAGCCTCACCTAACTCCCTGCCCCCTTCCCCTCCCAAGCCCTCAGTTTATTTCTCAGAGTCCACAGTCTCTCATGGTTTGTCTCTCCCTCCAATTTCCCCCAATTCACTTTTCCTTTCCTTCTCTTAACATCCACCGAGTTATTCCTTATGTTCTGTACTCATTTAAAATAGTGTAGAGTCCAGGCTTTCACTGAGGTAGTGTGACCATGTATCCAGTTGCTACTTAGGATCATTAAGGAAGAATTCAGCTTTGTAGACTTAACCCAGGAACTACCCCACACCTCCCCAAATTGAAAGTGGCAGAGATGCAATAAAATTATCCAGAGATCTGAAGACTTTCAACAAAATATAGCTTATCTGAGCAAAACTCACTTTTCTGTTTTCTTCCATATGCACACATCACTATTGCATACACTTACTGACAGCTAAAAGCAACAAAATCATGTTTCACTATAGTGCCCCCTTCTCTTTAGCATATATAACAGATATATTAGAGGTAACTAAAATATGTTAGAACTGTGCCTTATCTTCTGTCAGTAATATGTGTGCTCATGCATGTGTGTGTTCACTCTAATTCGCATGATAATACATTGATAAATGAATTTGTCTTATCTCTTTCTAAGGACAGTTGGAGATTGGAAAAATCACAAGACTGCCAAAGAATGAGAGATTTGAGAAATTTTTTAAAAGAAAAGATGAAAAATTTTCCTATTAAATTTATCTGTGATATTAATGGAGAATTTTAAAGTCAAGGCAACAGAAAATCACCTATAACATTTGTGCATTAGAATTACACAAATACATAAAATGATGTGGTGGGTTTTATGGTTCATTGATATTTTGCCCTGTGTTTACTTCTTTTAAGCTTTGACTTAAATCTTAGCCACATTTTTTATCCCTTGACTTGATGGTATAAACTTGGGCTTGGCTATTTGGGAGAGAAAGATTTCCCACTTCTTAACTTACAGACTATTTACAACTTCTATGCCTCCATTTACCAAAAGAGAAAAAACATATAAATATGGGACTAATGGGAGGACTGTTTCCGTAGCACCCTTTCCATGAACATAGTCCCTCAAGTTATAGATCTGTCGCCAACAGAGTGCTTCATACTGGTTCTTTTTTTTTTTTTTCTTTGAAAACAAAGTAACACTAGTATCTGTCAGCCATTTATGTTTACCATCATTCCAAAGGCCTTGAATGCCAACAGCTATCTTCGTTTCCTTTGTTTTTGCTTTTTGTTTGTCTTTTATTGCAACAGCTCCTTAATAACCTTACCATGCAATAGCTACTTTGTTTATTTCTTGCTTATGGAAAAGCTTGAACGAAATGACTGTATTACCAAATCGTCTGAATTTGGTTTGGTCTGATTATTCATCCATGTATATAGCTAGATCAGCAGAATTAAGCTATTTGCAATAGCTATCCTCCCCTCTCTCACTCAACACACACACACACACACACACACACACACACACATTAGTGAAACTACTACAGGCTGAAACACAAATTGTTCTGCAGAGGACAAGGTCAGATAGAGTCAATAGATTTTTCTTTGTCAAAGATTTTTCAGAAATTGTTCAGTAAGATGCTTTCCATTTAGGAATAATTTTTAAGAAGACCATAAAAGATTCTGTGTATCAATAATTATTTGGATTTAAAACATTTTAACACTACTTTTCATTCATATACATATAGACTCTTCATATTTGGCTGTTGACTTGGAAATCCATTCATAATTAAAACAAAATAATAATGGAAAAATTAGCATTTTCTTTCCATTAAAAGAATTAGTTATAATGCCTGACAGGTTCAGGTTCACTTCTATAACCATTTTCCTTTCATTTTTCATGATTTTTCTGGAAACTGTCCTGAAATCTACCTTTTCTCTTGGCTATCTATCTTTTACTGTGTGCGCACTGATCTCTGGCCCCACTGATCTCTTCAGTGATTCACAAGAGCAACAAGCTCTCCTCATCCTGTAAGCTTTCATAATTCCTGCTTTTCCCCTCTGAGGAATAATTTTCTTCCCTGTCTGTCTAGTTACTTTTATTTCTCCTTCAACCACTGACTTATTGAACATTTAGTTCATGGCTGCTGTGTATCAGGCACTGTGATATAATGGTCAACAAAGTTCCTTTTCTCATAGACTGTTTAGTCTCAGCATGAAGATGGAGGGAAGTGAGAGGGTAATGAAAAAACACAAGTAAATATAGAACTAGAGACTGCAATAAATGTAATAGGAAAAGGTAAATGAAACAATAGCACTAGTCACTGAGTGACCTACTCTGAGATACCAGGGAAAATTTCTTGCAGAGAAAATGGACTGGGTGAAAAGCCTACTGGTCCAAAGTGTGGCACCGTAGGAAATGCTGGGAGACAAGGGGACTGTAGAGCAGAGAATGAAAGGGAGAGCAGGGTAGGAGGAGCCTGCAGTCACACCTGGGTCAGCCACATAGGCTGGACTTCTGGCCAGCTACTTTAGGCTATAGCGGATCCTGAGGTGGGAGATATGTGCCTCTATGTATCCATTCCATCACAAAAAGTGGCTTTTGATGTATGTAAGTTTAAAACTCTGCCGTGACATCAGAGGAACTGGGATGGAATTGAACCTGGGACAGATGAATCTATTATAGATGTGTAACATGACACTACTCAATGGGGTGAGGGGGAAAAATCTGGTCTAAATAACTTAAGAACCAGTATTTTGTCTAAGTACTGTTAAGACTAAAGACAGAAAGAACTGAATACCAACATTGTACTCCAGTAGGTAAGTTTTTTTCCCGTAGACATATG